AACCACTAGCACTTTATATAATCTCTGTAGGAATTAGCCACATATCTCACTGATCTAAACTGCACTACTGTATAATTCTGTTCAATAATAATTATAGTTCTACAACTGTTTACAACTGTTTATAACTTGTATAGTTCATATTTCTATACAGTTTCATATTTATATCCTGTTCATAGCCTGTACATAGCTTGTACACTCACTACAGTCTGTACATACTTATAGTTATAGGATATTTATAACATACCTTCATACATGTACATAATAGACCCTCATAATTTTTTAAGACCATCATTTTGTACCCTCATACCTATAATAGACCCATTTTTGTAATATGTCTATATATCTATTTCATCGCTAATATATATTTTGTAATATATCTATATTATTGCTAAGCACTTTCTGGATGGATGCAAACTGCATTTTGTTGCCTTGTACTTGTGACATGTGCAATGACAATAAAGTTGAGTTCTATTCTATTCTATACTGCTGTGATAAAAGGCACTGGTTATCATAGAGTCTCATATACATAACTGGAACAAACAGACTGTTTTGTGTCGGAAACATTTTAGTTTATTCCTTATGTTTCCTACATTTAGCCTGTAGTTTACTGGTGGTTATTTTAATAGTAATGCCCTTAACATTAGTTTATTTAGCTAAATTAAGTAAAACTTTTAGTACTTGATTTGGATACTGAATACAAACTTAACAAAAAGATTTTTGTTTTTCTACCTTTGTAAATCCATTAATAATCCCAGAAGTATACATGTCACAGGGTGACGTTACATGTTCTGGTCAAGGTGACTGTAATAAAGCAAGAGAAGCACAACAGTTCGGAGCACTTTAGGCAACATTACATTTGAAAAATGGCACCCTTTATTTCTGTAAATATTAACTTGATTTTAATTATAATGTGAAAATATTTTAGTAACAATGTTTAGTAAATTCACAGTTGTCTTTTTCTAACTTTTTTTCTAACTAGTTTAAAATGGAAAACCAGTCCTTTGACTTTAGTTCCGAGTTAACCCTTGATCCATTTGTTATCCCACCTGGAGGAAAGTATCCTATATTTTTTCTTGGCATTTCAATTTGTATTTTTGGAATTTCCTGCAACCTGACCTTGTTGGCTTTAATCATATTGAACAGAAACCTTCACAAACCCATGTATTTCATCCTATTTAGTCTTCCACTCAATGATCTCATAGGACTATCTGCAATGTTACCAAAAGTACTTTCAAATATTGTTACAGAGACACACAAAATTGACTATCATCTCTGTGTTTTACAGGCATTCCTGCTCCACATGTATGGTGGTGGCATTTTGTTTATTCTTGCAGCAATGTCCTTTGACCGTTATGTTGCTATTTGCATGCCCTTACGCTATAGCTCTGTCATGACACCAAGATTTATTAGTTGTATCATTGTACTAGTTTGGGGCCTCGACTTTGTCTTGATTGCATCACTGTTCTCTTTGCAGGCAAGACTTCCCAGGTGCAAACATGTTGTTATGAATGTGTTTTGTGATAACCCATCTCTCCTGAAGCTGACGTGTGGAAACACAACAGTCAATAATATTATGGGGCTGTTTAACACTGGTGTTATACAAGTTGTAAGCGTATCCATTCAGGCGTATTCCTATGTTAAAATTCTCATCGCATGTGTGGTTACAAGGAAATCAGAAACAAAGGCAAAAGCTGTCAACACGTGTGTCGCACAGTTAGTTATACTGTTCATGTTTGAGGTTGTGGCAACATTCACAATTTTATCTCACAGATTCAAAAATGTTTCGGTTGACATGCAAAAGATCATGGGCATGCTCATATTTACTGTACCTCCACTTCTGAATCCAATCGTATATGGGTTGTATACAAACGAAATACGAAGCACTCTCCTGAGAGTCTTAAAAAATAAAGTATCTATGTGAATATTTGCTTATTGTTAATCAAATCATAAA